CCATCTTTCCAAACATACAAATTAAAATAACTTATTAAAATAATTAAATAGTCAAAAAAAAATCTAAAAAATAACTACTTTCCAAACAAAAACCATTGTAGTGTAAAGAAGTAAATGCTAGTTAATGTTACTCACAATTTAGTAACTATCACATCAAATAATAACATAACAAAACTTTTGACCAAAAATATTAAATGATTTTTTGTTCATTCATTAAAGTGCCTAATCATCAAATCATGTGGAAGGTTAAATATAAAATTACAAACCTACGACATTCACACTCACCGCTTTAGAAGTTCGCTCTAATCAACATCTCATGAGGATTCAACGTTGGGTGTTGCTTAGCACCATGGTTTTTGGGTTGTCTCACGCAAAAGATGCTTCTTCATATAACCCAATTTAAAAAATATTTGGAGATCGGTTCTTAATAATTATCATGTAGTTTATTAATAAAGCAAATTTAACTTATATTTGAATTTATAAAGAAACTAACCATCGACCCCAATTTTGACTACTAACCCAAGTGATATGCCATAAGCTACATCTTATCATGTTATTGAAAGTTGGTTTTAGAATTTCAAAATTAGTGAGATATAATATTACTGTAAGCAAAAATTATTATACAAGTCAAGAAGATCACGTAATTATATGTTTATCCAACAATATCGTTTTATTTATTTTTTTTTTTTTTATCATTTTTTAGTTTGTAGGCTATATAATTATGTAGACTCCTTGGAGCCACGGCACGTTTTGTGACTAGTCAAGTCACACATAAACTAATTCGAATCCCTGATCATAAAAAATAAAAATAAAAAATAATTATTATTAATTATTGCCTACACTAACATAAAAGATTTATATTAAGATTTTTAAATAATTTATTAAATTTTTTATTAAACCTCTCATATTCCACACATAAATTTGTGTTAACCATCTAAAAGGTTTGATAAATTATTTAACATCATGACATTTTCCAATATGAAATTCGCACCCATGACAATTACTCGGTTGGGGGTAGGTCTCATGATCTGAGTCAGCAACATGTCAAATGTCTCCTAGTATATCTGACACGTGTACATGAAAGCATGCATACGTGGTGGACATGAAGGCCTATCACGTCGTCTATATAAACCAAGCCCTACCCTTTCAATTTCATAGAATTCCGTGACTATCTCAGCAATTTTAATTTTTTTTTTTTTTTTTTTTACTTTGATACACCATTTTATTAACTCATTGTCCGACAATATACGAATTAATCTACTAAAATTTATTTCTTAAAACTATTGTATATTGACTTTGTTTGCGAAACGGTGTAATAGGCTATTGTAGCCTCTTTTTTTTAAAATAGTCAAAAAGTTTCTTGTTGTTGAGGTTGTGTAGGTTGTGTACAGTTAGGTTGCACTATAAGGTGAAATTATCGTTTTACCCTTTAAATGTTTATAACTCTTCAATCCAATTGTCATAACTCTCCAACTCATCTTCCATCATCTCTCTCATCTCTTACTTACCGACTGAAGAAAGCAGACTCTCTGTCACTTCTCACTTACCGACTGAAGAAAGAAGACTCTCTGTCATGGATCTCTCTCCAGCAGATCTCTGGCCAGCGGAGCTCTCCCTTCCAGACCACGTGATCGACGAAGAACTACGACAAGTAAATGAACTGACCCGATTTTACATCTTTTTCTAGCTTTTGCTAACTCAGTTTTGCTAGTTTTTCATTCCGATGTTGAAGATCCTTGTGTGTTTTGCTCCCTACTGATGGTATTTGGTGGTAGATTTGTCGATCTGGTCATAATCTTTTTTGCCCAATTTTTTTTTCCTTTGTATTTCGAGCTTTGCTTTTTGACATGTTGTTGCACGAAAAAGTTTAGCAAAACATCCTAGAAGAACACAAAGTTATTCGTCAAACAGATTGTCATGCTGAATTTAATTTAATTTTTCTGTTTTTAAAGTTCTTCAAAATCTTTTCTTCAAACATTGATGCCTGTGCTATGTTTTTTGTTTTTCTTCCCATAATTTGTTCTTGACAATTTGTTCCGCGGACATGGATGGTTCTGGTATTTTAATAATTTTGTTAGGAGTTGAAAATATAAATTAACATTTTTAAAAACTATTAAATTCCGAAATCTGTTTTTGTTAGTAACACGGATTTATGAAATAGGAATTAATTTTTGGTCTTGGTTAAATAGAGTTCTTGCTGAAGTTTTTGCCCAGATTTTTGTTTTAAACACTGTTGTATTAATTTACAAAAAATTAACAACAAAGCTTGACATTAATGTGAAGAGGCACAAATTAATTTAGTGAATAATAAATTTGTATGTTGTTTAACTTTTTCTTGAAATACCGTGCGGAGAGTACAGTATGCAAAGTAATGGTTCTTTGTTGTTAAATGACTGTTACAAATGCTTTTTATTCTTGGTTACGAATGCTTGATGCATGAGAAACCATGCCTCCAACTCTGTCCTATGAACTTTGCATGAGATACCTCCATAAATTGAACCAGGAATTAATTGTAATTCGTAATTTTTATAATTAAACGTAAAAGTTCTAGACAAATTGACTGATAATTATAGTTGTATTTGCACTTTGTGTGGGGACAATTCAAATTTAGGAAAATTTTGTAATCGCATGGATATTTTACTTTTTTAATTAAAATTCCAATGTTGCCCAAATTTGTAATAATCTCGAATTTGTAATTGATAGAATTAAAAGTTAATTTGTAAGAAGTTTGTCAATTTTTTTTCATTCTTATTTATAATTACAAGTTAACTATCAAACAAATAAATAATGGTATATGCAACAATTGGTAAACTTCAGTGTACAATAAATGATTACTAATAATTGTTGAATTTTTAGAAATTTGTAATTTGTATAATGGGTAAGATTTAAAATAATGCCAGAAGGTATGTTGGTACACTACATAGTATGCCAATTGTTTACAAGTTATAAAATTTGTTTTTATTTTTTTATTTTTTTATTTATTGCTCTTTTAAAATTTATTTATAATTCACAAATTGAAGATTTCAAATTTTGTGCCAAATTGCCTCATTTTAGCCGTTACAAGCTGCCTCCAAATTCTGTTAAAAATAAATAAATAAATAAAAAGCAGCATCCAAATTCACCCACTGCCATGTCAGCACACAAACATTCATTTTCCTGTTGGAACAGTACATGGACACATGTAGGGGTAGATTGGTAATTTCATATTAAAACATCATTTCAAACACTTTTCCAATACAACCATTCAAAAAAATTCAACTCATCTTTCCAAACATACAAACTAAAATAGCATACTAAAATAGTCAAATAGTCAAAAAAAACTTAAAAAATAACTATTTTCCAAACAAGACCATTGTTGTATAAAGAAGTTAATGCTGGTTAATGTCACTCACATTTAGTGACTATCACATCCAATAATAACATAACAAAATTTTTGACCAAAAATATTAAATGATTTTTGTTCATTCATTAAAGTGCCTAATCATCAAAGCATGGAGAAGGTTAAATATAAAATTACAAACCAACGACATTCACACTCACCGCTTTAGAACTTTGCTCTAATCAACATCTCATGAGGATTCAACGTTGGTTGTTGCTTGGCACCATGGTTTTTAGGTTGTCTCACGCAAAAGATGCTTCTTCATATAATCCAATCTAAAAAATATTTGGAGATTGGTTCTTAATAATTATCATGTAGTTTATTAATAAAGCAAATTTAACTTACATTTGACACCTCATAATAAAGAAACTAACCATTGACACCTCATAATAGAATTTTATATATATATATATATATATATGTTTTGAATATAATATTATTTATTTTTATTAATTCTGTAATAATTATTGTTAAAATTCTTAATGGTAAAAAACTGAGGATGTGTAAAAAAATTTATTAAAAAAAATTAAATGTACAAAATTCAATCTTAAAATCGGATATAATCACCTCAAATTAAATGGTTCCTACCAAATGTGTAAACCCAACCTCATTAGAGGAAGTTGTGATTGAATTTTGTGAACGAGAACGTGTCAAGCATGGAAGTGGTAAATAAGAAAACACAAAAAAAAAGTTTTTACCTCAATTTTGACTACTAACCCAAGTGATATGCCATAAGATCTCATGGCTTATGTTTGGGAAGTTGGTTGGCTTTTTGGTTTTTTAATTTTTTTGGCTATTTTAGCCTGGGCTTAAAAACTTGGTTTGGGAATGGCTTTTTGGCTTTTTAGCTTTTTTGAGTTTTTTTGTGAGAGAAGAATGTAATGATTATGGGTTGGATGTGATGTTTTGTTTTTATGGCTAAAATAGCCTATTTTGTTTTTTGTGGCTAAAATAGCCAAAAAAACCTACAAACCCACTTGCCAAACACAGGCATAAACTACATCTTATCATGTTATTAAAAGTTGGTTTTGAAATTTCAAAATTAGTGAGATATAATATTACTGTAAGCAAAAATTATTATACAAGTCAAGAAAATCACATAATTATATGTTTATCTAACAATATCGTTTTATTTTTATTTTTTTTATTATTTTTTATTTTGTAGGCTATATAATTCTTTAGATTCCTTGGAGCCACTGCATGTTTTGGGACTAGTCAAGTCACACATAAACTAATTCCAACCTCGCATCATAAAAAATAAAAAACAATTATTATTAATGATTGCCTACACTAACATAAAAGATCTATATTATAAATTTTAAATAATTTATTAAATTTTTTACTACACATATAAATCTGTGTTAACCACGTATTTATCTAAAAGGTTTGATAAATTATTTAACATCACGACATTTTCCAATATGAAACTCGCACCCATGACAATTACTCGGTCGGTGGTAGGTCTCATGATCTGAGTCAGCAACATGTCAAACGTCTCCTAGTATATCTGACACGTGTACATGAAAGCATGCATACGTGGTGGACACGAAGGCCCTTCACGTGGTCTATATAAACCAAGCCCTGCCCTTTCAATTTCATAGAATTCCGTGACTATCTCAGCAACTTTTCTCAATCTCTCTGCTCTCTCTCTGTTTTTTAGTCCCTGATTCTCTCTTCTTCTCTGTTCCGGCAATCTTTATTTTCTGAATTTTAAACTTTCTTGAGAGAATCTTGAATTTTGAACTTTCTTGAGAAAATGAAGGAAAATTTGGAAAACCCTTTGCGGCTCACCTCTCTGAATCACGTCTCACTTGTTTGTAGATCACTTGAGAAATCCATCGATTTCTACACGAATGTTCTTGGGTTCGTCCCAGTGAGAAGACCCAACTCATTTAATTTTGATGGAGCTTGGTAAGAAAAAAACCCACTTAGAATAATGGAGTTCCTACCTTCTTTTTAATTTTCTCGGGAAAATATTTTTGTTGTTGATTTGATTGATTTGGGTTTCTGGGTTTTAATGTAGGTTGTTCAGTTATGGAATTGGAATACATCTTTTGCAATCAGAAGACCCAGAACATATGATGAAGAAAAGCAAAATCGACCCCAAGGACAATCATATTTCATTCCAGGTACTTTCAAGTTTCAATCTGATCAATTGTAATATGTTTTTATTATTTTCATTATGTTTATATGTAATTTGTCAGTTTCTTGAACTAACTTGGGATGATGACAATAATCAGTATCTGAATAGTTACAGAAGGAACCCAACATGAAGACAAGGATGATTCTCTCCAACTTTTTTTGGCTCTATTAGGTTGCATGCCAAAAACACAGAGAAAAAATTGATTTTGTTTTTGTTTTTGTTTTTTTTATTTTTAAAATTTAACTTGTGAATTGACATAACAAGACGTGTACAATATGCTGTTCTGATAGGTTTAAAAATAATCATTTTGTTTGACTTTGTGATTAAAGTAGATGTTTGAATTTTTTATTTTCCATATTTTTGGGGAATTTTTTAATATTTTAATTAATTTTTTTTTACTTTCAAGATTCAATAGGGACCCAAAAAATAACATACTTAATAATTTTTTAATTTCTGGTTTATTTTCAGATTAAAATTTTTTTTTAACTAAAATAGGTTGGAATAAGAATTTGATTAAAAATTTGAAAAACAAAAAATTTAAAAACAGTTTTTAAAAACTAAATCAAACAGAATGAATGGAATTTTGATGCATGACAATTTCCTATTTTGATTTGAGAATTACAACTTGTGCAGAATTTGAGGTAGTATAGGCTGTCCATGACTTGATATCTGGGTATAAAAAATACTTGAGACACCTACTTTATAATTCATAAAATCTATCCTAATAATATGTCAAACAATGCCACATCATCAGAGCTATTTAGAGTTATTTAGAGGCGATAAATTAGAGTATGTAGAATTGTTGATCTTGGTATACCGAGTGGTGTTACATCCTTTTAATTTTGCATCCTTAAATTCCACGTTTGAGGTGTAATTGGGAATGATAAATTGGGAGACGAAGTATTTTTCTTTAATTAATTAGAGTATTGTATACAGTATATGAGATTAAGCAACTTAGTGATCAGAATGTGGAACTTGCTGTCAGATTAGTTAAACGATACGTGGTGTGTTTTCTGTGTCATTGCAGTGTGAGATCATGGCAGTGGTGGAGAAGAAGCTGAAGGAAATGGGAATCGAATGCATGAGGCAGATGGTGGAGGAAGGCGGGATTCACGTCGATCAACTGTTCTTCCACGACCCGGATGGCTTCATGATCGAGATATGCAACTGCGATAACATCCCCATTGTCCCACTATCTGGAGAAGCGGTTCGATCATGTTCCCAGGTGAATCTGCAGAAGAAAATGCAGCATCAGCAGCAACAGATACAAGTAGTCCAACCATAGGAGAGCTATAGCTAGCATGCCTTAGCTTTCTCTGCTTTTGTTTTTCTTGTTTAATTCGTTTATTAATTTGGGGTTTATGTATTAAGAACTTGGTGATCTCATGATTTCCATTCCATCAACAAAATGATAATGGTCATTTATGCCCATCTTGGAATCTTATTATGAGCTTGTTTGCAAATTGTGATTCTCTCCTCCATGGCTCTAACTGGGTTTTGGTTGTAAATATTTTGGAGTGCTTGGCCATGTTATAGCCTGAAATTGTTACTCTTTTGGTTTGGCAATTATTTCAAAAGTGGGGCGTAAGGCTACACTTGAATATGAGAGAGTAATTTTCTGGATATTTTTGTGGGTGTTTCTGCTTACATTGTGATCAGAAGGAATGTACTGATTGAATATGATAAGAGTAATTTTCTGGATAATTTTGTGTGTGTTTATGTTATTGGATAAAAATACAAAATTGGCTTTTTGCTTGCATTGTGATTAGAAGGAATGTTATTAGTCTCTTAGGCCATGCTTGATTTACAAGACTAATAGTGAGGTATTAATAATCTTATCAAATTAGTGTGGTATTCACTATTCAATTGGATTAATAGGATAAATTATTCATGGGATTAATAATCTCACACCTACCCTATTACTAATAATCCTACAATTTTGTTAGATTAATTATGCCCTGTTTGGTAGGACTTATTTCTAGCTTATTTCAGTTTTTAGCTTAATTTAAGTTATTTTGACGTGTTTGGTTCAACTTAACAATACAGTTTATAATTTTTTGTAAGTCAAAAATCAATTTATTCTTTGAATGGGAGAGGAGAAGCTTAATTTATAAGTCAAAAATCAGCTTATATTCACAGTCATAAGTTATAAGCTGTTAAGGTATAAGGTATAATCACTTTCTCACAGCTCTACCAAACGGGGTCATAATCCTAAACCAAAATGTTAAAACAAATATAGAATAATTAGGCCCACAAATTAATAATTCCAATTTCATCCTTTAATTCATCCAATCAAACATGCCCATAGTGTTACTGAGAATGAGTTTTGCTCGTGGAGTATGTATTATTATGTGGTATCAAAGACAATTACTACATCGAGTATGGAGTCAGATGCAGTATGAGATAGAATGCATATATGTAAGTTTGGAAGTACGGAATCAGGTGCACTTGCATTGAGTATGAGATCGGATGCATTTATGTAAGTCTTGAAGGGAGTGACTTATAAGTTGGTTACACTCAAAAAAATATCAACCCTTCATCCTATAAGTTGGTTACACCTTAAAAAAATATTAAACATTGAAAAATATTTGATGGTCCGAATTTGTGTGGCTCGAATGACTTGAATGTATCAAAACGACGTCGTTTTACACTCAAAACGACGTCGTTTTGGATGTTTCGAGCCATTCGGGCTATGAATTTTCGGGTCACCTATCATTGTTGATATTTTATAAGAGAGTACACCAATCCTATTCAAGTCATGGTCTTTCTTTTCTTTACTTAACTATCAATGTTTAACAACAATGAATTGAATTGGTGTACTCCCTTATAAAATATTGGATGTAAGAATGTAAGATTTTTTTATTAACTTGATCAAGTATAGGGATGGAATCCGTTTTTTAAGTTTAAAATAAAATCTTTTTTATAGCTCATAGTAGATCGTATAATTAAAAAATGTTGAACATTGATAGTAGAGTAAAGCCATTAAAAGAAAAAATTTCCTTTACTTATAAAATATAGTATTGGATACAAGAATGTAAGACTTTCTTATCAGCTTGATCAAATATAGGGGTGAAATTGGTTTTTTAAGTCCAAAATAAAATCTCTTTCATAACTTATAGTAGACTGTATAATAAAAAAAAAATGCCGAACACTGATAATTGAGTAAAGTGGATAAAAGAGAAAGAACTATCACTTGATCTAATGTCTCTAATGTCAATGTCAATAGAGTGGGTTACTGTAAACATCTTAGTGTAGCTCTCACTATCTCACCACACATTGGAAACTCCTTCCTTCTCTCAATGGAGAGCACCCTCTGTTAGTCTCAACTCAACCCATACATCCATATTAAGGCTATGCTAATACATAGCATTACATTATTTGCAGCAACAGTGGCATTCCCAAAGCCCATCTTGCATCCACCAATCCAATGCATCAACCAAACAGCTCCCAGGTGAAAATAAACTACTTCAATTAAATATTTAAACTTTTCATACTAGCAAAAAAATCCAACACAAACGAACAACATATATATGCTTGATTCGAATCATACGAAATGGACTTTTTTTTTTCTTTTTTTTCCATGCTTGCTTATTCATAGATCCAATAGGGACTGATCAAAACGAGCACATACCCAATCCAACAATTTAACAAAACACAAAAATAACAAAACAGTAATACAAAAGTTTATAGAGAAGCCTATGTTCCTAGCAAGCATTTTGATTGTAATTCTCGATGGAATCGAGGCGTTGGATAACATTTGATTCCCTGGTCTATTATTTTTTAAGGTAAATTATAAATACACTCCTTAAGATTTGTTTAAAATATAAATTGTCCCTTGTAATTTGAAAAATTACAAATACTCCCTTGTTAGAATTTTTTATTTAACAGAATTAACTAACAAAATAAAATTCGTAATTGCTCTCTTATATAATAATAAAATTACCTAAATTATTAATTGAAACATATTTCTAACATCATTAAAAATTGTTAATTGACTTGATAATTTATTAATAAAATAGGCGATTTGTTATGAAATTAGAAACCTCAAAGAGTAGAATGTAATTTTCAAAATTACAGGGACAATTTATATTTTAATTAAATCTCAGGGGTGTATTTATAATTTATCCTATTTTTATTAATTGAGCACCTCTTGGTAGAGTAGTCAAAAGTCAAAATTGGAATTCATTGAATTTTATTTATTTATATTTTATTATTTTTTTCAAAAATTACTAATAAGTTATATTTTAGTGTTTCAAGTTTACATGGACAACTAAATTTCGTTTCTTATAGAAAAAATTCAATTTTTCATAATAGTATATTTTATTTCAATTAAAATATGAACCAAATAATTCATTAAAAAAATTAATTACGAAAAAAGATTTTAATTGTTGAAATTAAATAAATTTTCATAAACAAAACCATCACGTATTATGAATTCACCATGGAATTATTTTCTATAGTTCTAGCTATTGATGTAATTTTGATAAAATTTAGCCTTTTTGGATTATTTACCAAATAAAAATTATAGTTTGAAACTACAGAAAATGATGAATTTTATGCTATAGTTGTTTTGATCCAATTGTTGCTTATGATTTTGTTTAATTTGATATTCATATTTTTTACAATTAAAAAATATAATTCAAAAAATTAAAATTATTTATGAAATTATTGTTTATAGTAAATGAAAATAGTAAAATTGGTATAAAATACACTATCATAGAGAATTGAATTTTTTGAGAACATTTTATAAATAAATCTATATAATATGGCCGGACGGTTTTTGAAAATGTTTCAAAATGTACTGGACATACATTTTGAAACAACGGTTCAGATTATTTTATCTAACAATTTAAGGCCCCGTTTGTTTGGGGTTATAGAAAGGGGATTGGGACTACTAATACCTTGGTATTACTAATACCTTGTTTGTTTTGAGAGATGGCATTGGGACTACTAATACCTTGGTTTTACTAATACCCTTGGAAGGAGGATTCATAGTGAAGAGGTAGAGATAGTATTAGAAAAATAGTGAGGGGATTAGAAATTTTTTTATTTTTTATATATTGGGAATTTTTTAAAAAATATTAATGTTTAATTTTTATATTTTTTTATGTGTTTTATTATTTTATATAAAAATAATTTAACAATTTCTCACTATCAATCCCCTCACTATTAATCTCTTCACTATCAATCACCTCACTAACAATCCCCTCACTACTAATCCCCTCACTATCAATCCCCTCCATTCTATCTCTGAAAACAAACGGGATGGTCAAGATGATTTCTTTACTTTTGTTTTTTCTCCCAAAATATCTCTCTCTTTCTTTCCTTTTTTTGAGTCTTTTCACCTATTCGCCCATCCATCCTCTCTCTTTTTGTAGTCTTTTTCCAAATTTCAAGTGTAGTGCACTACTTTCTCCAATGCAATTGTCTTCTTTGAGTATGAGTCTTTGGTTTGTTTTTTAATTTTGTTTTTGTTTTTGTTTTTTGTTTTTTTGTTTTTTTTTTTTTTTGTGTGTGCGCGCGTATAAAATGATATTAGACTTTTAACAGTATCTCTTAGAACAAAGTTTGACTGCAGTTTAAAAAAAATATATAAAAAAAACCTTGGACAAATCACAAAAAAAAAATCTTAGTTTGACCATGGTAATAAAATAAATTTTTTGGTTTTAATTTTTTTAATTTAAACCCATATTTTTTTAATCTAAATTATTTGTCTATTTTTATTAAATAAAACCGACATAGGAAGTGTATTTTAGCCATTAAACTTAATGTAGGTATATATAAAATGTTTAAAATAACATTTTTTTTTTTGAGTTTAATGGCTAAAATACCTTCTTTTTTGTTTTTTCTTTTTTGTTAGTTTTACTTAGTATTAATAGATAAACAGTTTAGATTGAAAAGAAATCAAAATATTAGGGTTTAAATTGACAAAATTAAAATATAAGGTCTTATTTTGTTATAAGGGTCAAATCCTAGGAGGTTTTTTTTTTTTTATAATTTCTCCAAAAAAACTTTAACCAAATTATTATTGACTTTCTTATTTGTTGTATTTAAAAAACTAGGTTACAAATTGTTAAAAATTAAATAATGTTCAAAAATTAAAATTTTAATACACATTTTACATATTCTTACACACTTTTATATATTTATATACATGTTTACATTTTAATATAATTTATATATATATATATATTTAAATATGTATTAAAATTTTAAAATTTTCTAACTTTATTTGATTTTGAACAAATACTCAAAGATGGGTTGTAAGCATAATATTTTTTAATAACTAATAAGAAAATCAGTATTATTTTGGTCAAAGGTTTTTTCTTTAAATAAATGAATCCAATAAGAAAATTAATGAAACACTTTGAGGAATATTTTTAAAAGTCAATCCATTCAACAACAATAAGCCAAAAAGAAAAAATAAAAAT